ATCCCCAGTAGGGGGTGTGCAAGAGGCAGCTGATTGATGACTCTCTCTCATCGATGTTTCTAACTCTCTATCTCTCTCCCTTTCTCTCTGCACAAAATCAATAAAATATATTTTTAAAAAAAATTCAGCTCTCAAAAGAAATGTCAATCATTGTCCTGTTGATATTTGGCTCTGGTGACTAATGAGTTTGCCCACCATTGGGCTAGGCAGTGTTTCCCAAAGTGTGGTACGCGGACCCCCAGGGGTATGGGGAGAGTTTGGTGGGGGTACGCGTTGCACCGGAGTTTGGTGGGGATATGCACTGCACCGTGCTTAGCTGCGCCTAATTCTTCGTTCTCATGAGTATGAAGGGTGCTCAGCGTTACGAAAATTATAGAAGGGGTACACGTATGTCAAAAGTTTGGAAACATTGGGCTAGAGGATACACAGAAGCTGAATAAAGTCAAGGTTTGAGGAGAGGGGAGAAAAAGAAAGCAGACTTCTTAGAGCTGGAAGGGATTTCCAGAGCATCCTTGACTCCTTTTACTTCAAAAGGAAACTGAAGCCTGGGATGAGAAAGTGGCTTGAAGGATGACAAACTGCACAGCATGGAGCTGAGGGGGTAGCCAGTGCAAGGGCTTATAGCAGGGCTAAGAACACAGGCTTAGGCAGCCAGAGGACTTGAGAGGACTTGGGTCTGATTCCTGAAGCTTCCAACACACGCACTCGCTGAGTGCCCCTGTGAGGGCTAGTTAGCCTTTATCAGCCTCAGTTTCCTCGTTTGCAGAATGCGGGTAATTGCACCTGCCCCAGGAAGAGTATTGGGGCAATGCCCTGGAAGCACGGGTAAGTATGCATGAAGGCAGAAGGGTCAACAATGATGAGCACTGTTTCTCTCTCCATTTGTCCCCCAGGTATTTCTATTATTTGAGGGTTTCCCAAAAGAATGATAGTTGCTTCCTTTTCCTCCTTCTGCTAGAGCTATTCCTCTGCCTAGAATACCCTTCTCCCTGCCAGAGCTAATATGTATTGAGTTCTTAGTAATATGTTACAGACACTGTTGTAAGTGCTTTACAGGTATTATCTCGTTTATAGTAACCCAATGGGGTCAGGACTGGTATTCTCCGGATGTTATAGACCAGGAAATGGAGGTTTGGTGAGGTTGAGAAACTTGCCCAAGGTTCACACAGCTAGTGTAGACCCATCCTGACCTGAGAAGACACTCTTAACTGCTGCCTACTGCCTCTGTGTGTCAAAATCACCCTCTACCGTGTCAGTGCCAGCTTCTCCTCCTCCAAAGAGCCTTCTCTCATCTCCCAACAGGAAATAATCTTGCTTCTCCCTTTCAAATTCTGCCACTTCTTTGTTAGTATCTGAGAGCCTTTGCCTTCTACTTGATATGTTTTTGTATTTGTGCCCAGTACATGGTTTAGCTTACCTCTCAGTCTTGCTATTCCTTGAGGGCAAGAACCAGGTCCTGTTTGATTTGATAAACTCCAAAGGCCTGGCAAAATGCCAGCGGCCATTATAAGGAATTAGACCCTGACCAAATATCACAAAGACTCGATTCTGAATCAAACCCCAATCTCTCCGTGCCAGCCATCAAATGCAGCAAGTAAACGATTGTGAAACGAACTGCCATACCAAAGAGCTCTCTCCACATTCTCGCTGGTGACCACGCTTTTGAATGCTTGGTCTTTGACCTCTGGCTTCTCCTTAGCATGCAGAGCACAGGGGGGCGAGCTGAGAGCTGAAGTGTGGGTGGAAATGGAATGGGAACAAGGGTAGGGCCAAGGCAACCTTCCTTTGGACTCTGCTGTGAACCCCGGGGGGATGGAAGTCAAGGGAGCCCTGAGGCCAGCGCTGTGAGACTGTTTCCAGTCCTCAGAAGCAGAGAGCAAAGTTCACATGCCACAGAGAACACCGAGGCAAGGACATCATTAACTTTGTTCCTACGCTGACCATGGCCCTGGGTTACAAAATGGCATGTCTGTCCCTCATAACACCATAAAGGAGTTATGCAAATGCAAAATGACCAAAAGTGTGTGAGATGGGAAGCATCTCCATTGGAGGTTGGGCTCCATTACAAGAACAATTAAACGGGTGGGACAGTGGGCATGGGAGGGCTGACCTTCAAGAAGAGTTACATCCACAAGGAGCCCACATGTCTGAGGGAGGAAGCCCGGTGGAGGCCGTGGAAACCCGATAAAGGGACAGAGGAGCAGAGTGACCACAGGGATGCCTGTGGGCGCTGGGCTCCCGCTGGGGGGAGGAATGCCCCAGGCAGATCCCACAGAGTCTGAGGCAAGATCAGAGGAACTTGGTCGGAATCCTCATTCAGCGAAGAGCAGGCCTCGAGGCCTCGAAAGAAGTAAAAGGTGGAACTTCCTCTCTAAACCTAAGTGTGACCCAAGGAATGGCCGGGGGAGAGGTGGAAGTGAGGAGAGGGCGGGGAGAAGGAGGCGAACTATCTTAGAGCACATGGCTGCCCGGAAGGAAGGCTGGCCACAGCAGATGCAATGTCAAAACTCTCAGGGGAAAGATAAACAGGATCCCACAAAGGCTCTGACACAGCGGATCTTACCCTTTGTGGAGTCTCTGACCCCTTTGGAAATAACATGAAAATCCTCTCCTTGGAAAAAGAGCATAAATGTTCCCACAAGGGTCTTCAGGGTAAAGAATCTCTGGTCCGGTCACCAGAGGAACGGCTGGTGCTTACAGCAGAACGGCAAACAACTAAAAAAGGAAACAGGCCCTGACCGGTTTGGCTCAGTGGATAGAGCGTCGGCCTGCAGACTCAAAGGTCCCAGGTTCGATTCCTGTCAAGGGCATGTAGCTTGGTTGCAGGCACATCCCCAGTAGGGGGTGTGCAGGAGGCAGCTGATCGATGTTTCTCTCTCATCCCATATTTCTGACTCTATCCTTTTCCCTTCCTCTCTGTAAAAAAATCAATAAAATATATTTTTAAAAGAATAAAAAAGGAAACAGGCGGGGAAGGGACTAAACAATGGAGCTGAGGAATGACAGTTCTGCAGGCATCTTATCCATCACGGATGGAAGGAGGAGTAGCCAGCAGCAAATTATTAGTAAAAGTTGTGGCACAGCCGAAACCGGTTTGGCTCAATGGATAGAGCGTCAGCTTGGGGACTGAAGAGCCCCGGGTTCGATTCCGGTCAAGGGCATGTACCTTAGTTGAGGGCACATCCCCAGTAGGGGGTGTGCAAGAGGCAGCTGATAGATGACTCTCTCTCTCATTGATGTTTCTAACTCTCTATCTCTCTCCCTTCCTCTCTGTACAAAAATCAATAAAATAAAATAAAATAAAATAAAATAAAATAAAATAAAATAAAGTTGTGGCACAGAACTGTGAGAGAAGGCCAAGAAGGCATAAGTCCAAATGAGGTGGGATTTTTTTTTTTTTTTTTTTTTGCTTCATTTTAAAACGAACAAAAACAGGCTGTACTTGCGTTCATAGCACCAAAAACAGGAAGGGCTGGCAGTGTGACATCATCCCAACCTCTATTTTGACCTCAGCTCTGTCTTTTCTGTCAAGAAGATTAATTTCCAAACTGTAGCATGTGACACTACGTTGCTAAGAAGAAACTGAGCTCATGTAATCATACACCTGGGCGTCTTATTGAAAGCATGCTGCTGCAATTGTGCCATCTAGTGGTGTGAGGCCGATGTTGCGTCATTGGCCATCTTCACAAACACACATTCTACCTTAAAAGCCCTGGCAACCAAAAAGCTTTTAACCTAGAGGAGGTCAAGCACAGGATGGCACCATACTAGATGCTGCTCTGCTCTCAGGTGATGACACTTTACTAGAACTCTCCAGGCTTAGTCTCAGGTGATTACACTTTACTGTGAAGTCTCCTCTAGCTCTGGTATCTCCAAATTTAGTGATTGCATCGCAGTGTTTCCCAAACTTCTCTCATGATGAGAATCACCTAGTGGAGTTGTTAAAATACAGGTTTGTATTTTAACAACTTAAGAAGTGCTAACCTAGAATTTTGGGGAACATATAGATAAAATTGTATATTTAACTTAGTGCTCTGTAAGCAATTTTACTTATATGTTCCCAAAAATTCTAGTTTAGCACTTCTTAGTTGGGATTCAGGAATCTGTAGTTTAACAACTCCACCAGGTGATTCTCATCATGAGCGAAGTTTGGGAAACACTGCTAAGGAGACTAAATTATGGCCATTGCTAATTAGCAGAGACCTCTGGCAGTGGGAAAATTCCAAAGGGTAGTAATACTTTGGGCAGAAAAAGGAGTGCACATCAGGAGGTAGGAATAACATGGGTCAAGCAAGAAGGGAGGAGGAAGAAGAGAGATAGAGAAGGAGAAGAGGGAGCAGAGCAGGGAGCTAACAGAGGGGAAAGAGGTCAGCTGGCTGCTACAAGTAGTGTTCCTAGGAGCCTGGGGCAAATAAAGGAAGGCCTTAAACACTGGCAGGAGGGTTTCAGAATGACCAGTAGGCCTCAGGGAGGTTTTGTAAATCCTAATTGGGGAAGATATTTTATGAAACTGGTGTTTTCTGAATATTAACATTATGCTGTTGGTTTGCAAAGTGAACTCTGTACACGGAAGACAAGGAGAAAGAGGCAGACCCTCCAGATTGGTAAGTCGCAGGTTTAATAAGAAAGGGGACTTACGTATGAGGCTTGTTTGGGGCAGCGAAAAGATAAGTGGGTCTCTGCACCGGCCCACCAGAACCTTCCAAGTTTATGTAGAGACTCTAATGGGGCTCAGTCACATACACAGTCCAGATGGTCTCAACAGCACACTGCTCTGTCAAGGCCGTGTCCTTGAAACAGCTCCTGGCGTTGGAACAGTGGGCTGAGTGCACATGCCAAGGACAAGGGATACTACTTGGCATGTACACTCATGATACTACCACTCATTTCTCTGAGGAATACACACCAGGCCTCTCTCTCTCTCTCTCTCACACACACACACACACACACAAACCTAAATTAATTAGTGTTTAAAAAAACAACTCAGAGACTGGTGGGGATCAGGGAACGCGGCCCAGCCTTGCTGGAGTGTTTATTTGCAGGGAGGGCTGTGGGCCCAGGAGGTCCTCCTGTGTGCAGTGACGAGTCCAGGACTCCTCCCCAGCTCAGTCCCTCAGGGCCTCTCACAAACTCACCCTGGGAGGGCTAGGTCCAAGGGCCAGGCACCTGGAAGAAAGTGCTAGATGGAAAGGGCACCTCTCCCTCCACACCCAGTCCCTCCCCTTCTTCCCCGCCCTCCTTCCCCCTCCCCCCCCTCCCATAACAGACCCCGCATCCCTATCAGGATGGCACCAAGCTCAGCGGAGCACAGAAAAGAGAGTGAGGATCAGGGTCAAGAGCACAGGCCAGGGACACGCCTTCCACCTGGGATGTGGCTTTCTCATCCACCAGAACCTGAACAAGCGGCCCCAGGCCTGAGGGAGAAAATGGCCTGGCCCTGAGAGACCCTGGGAGAGGCAGAAGGATGTGGCTGATGAGAGTCAGATAGGGTGCAAAGACCAGGGAGGACAGGAGGCTGGGCGGAAGGGAATGAGGAGAGGAGGCAGGAGCAGAGAGGGTGGAGAGGAAATGATGGAAGAGGCTGGGCTCTAGTCATCATCCCCTGCGGTTTCCTCTCCCGGATCAGGGCTGGGACACAACAGTCTGGGGCGTGCGATGTTGTTCCAAAGCCCCTCTGTGGCCCCAGGAAGGACCAGGTTCGAGAGGTTGTACTCACCCTGGAGGGGCTGCTTCACCCAGACATGATGTGCTTGACAAAGGCTGGGAAAGAAGACAACAATCAGCCATTGGCCCCAGCTGGATAGCTCAGTGGATAGAGCGTCCTTCTGGACTGAAGGGTCCCAGGTTTGATTCCAGTCAAGGGCATATGTCTGGATTGTGGGCTCGATCCCCAGTGGGAGGCATGCAAGAGGCAGCCAATAGATTCTCTCTCATCGTTATTTTCTCTCTCTCCCTCTTTGAAATCAATAAAAATATATATGTTTTTAAATCAGCCATAGAACTTGGCCCTTCTCAGCTCTTTATTACCCTCTTGGCCTCTTAACCTCTCCCCCCTCCCTACATTGCCTGACTTCAAACCTTCCCACGACCCCTTCTCCAGACTGTGATTCTTTCTCTTATTTGGGGATTGGTGGGAGGAGCTGGAAGGGGGAAGAGACCTCAACTGTGCTCTCTGTCCACTCTGTGCTGATACGCACCAGAAATGAAATACATTACCTTCACTAGTCCCACAACCTGGAGAAGGGTACCTGCATCACCCCATTTCTCAGATGAGAAAACTGAGGCTCGGAGAAGGTAAGTGACTTAATAAAGGTGATAAAGCTCGTATATCACAGTACTATCTCCAAATTCCATGCTTCTCCCATTCTACCAGGATGGAAAGGACCAACACCAAAGCCACGTCCACTGGTTCCTGGATCTGTTCTCTGCAGCAGCCTGGCCCACACTGTGCTTGGCCCTCCTCCCCTGGGTACCTGGGGAAGCAGGCATGACCTGATACCTTCGTAATTGATGCAGCCATTGGCATCCTCCTGCCCAGCTAACAGCTGCTCCACTTCCGCCTCAGTCATCTTCTCTCCTGGGGTGGGAGGCAGGAGACTCTTAGTTGCAGATGGCAAGGAGGGACAGGAAAACCCCAAACACACCCCAGGACTTCCCGACCTGGGAAATGGTCACACCATTCCTCCCGCAAAGACACTGGGGAGTGGAGCCCAGGGTCTTACGGCCCTTCCTAGACCCCCAGGCCTCTGGCTCTGCCTGCAGCTCTCCCTGGGTGAACAGACGAGGGCCCCAGGGACCCGGGGGCCCAGGCAAAGGTAAGGTCAGGAGCCCTGGGTCCCACCTCTGCCAGACCCAGCCGGGGCAGGCTGTACCTGCAGAGCCCAGGGAGCCAGGGCTGGACCAGGATGTGATCCTCAGGACTCAGGGACTGCCCAGACCTGCCCGCTGGGCACCTCCCGCCCCTCCATTCTGTTTCTGCCCGGCTGGCATACCCAGGGTGGCAAGGACGTGGCGGAGCTCGGCGCCCATGACCGTGCCGTTGCTCTCCTTGTCGAACACGCGCAGCCCCTCCACAAAGTCCTCGTAGGTGCCCTGCTCCTTGTTGCGGGAGATGTGCTGCAGGATGGGCAGGAACGTCTCAAAGTCCAGCATCTTGGCATTCATCTCTTCAGGCGCATGGGAGGAAAGAGGGGTGACGTGAGCAGAATCACGTGGGGAGCAGAGAAGGCTTTATATAAAGCTCATATATATAAAAAATGTATATATTTTTTTAAAAAATCAGCCATAGAACTTGGTCCTTTTCAGCTCTTTATTGCCCTCTTGTCCCCTTAAACCTCTGCCCCCTCCCTATATTGCCTGACTCTGCTGAGTAGGACCAGCTCTGCTGAGGAGGACCCGTCCCTGGCAGCACCCAGGGCTTAGCTGCAGCCACTTGTGGGTGGGACACCCAGTCAGTGATCCTGGAGGGCCCGGAGCCCACAGGAGCAAGGCAGTAGGCTGGCTCCGGGCACTGGTCTCAGTGAAAGGGCAGGAGCGAAAAGGAGCCACCAGACCTCGGAGCTCCAGATTGCAGCCAGGTGGGGAGCGGAGGGTGTCAGCCGCAGAATCGGAGGGGCCCAAAGGTAAACTGCTAGGATTGCAAAAAATAAAATAAAATAATTTTTATTTTTACTTTGTGTAACTCAGCATTTGGGGCTCATTACTAGAGCTATCTGAAGCAATAATTTTTTTATAAATTTACAATCCTCTTGTGACTAGTACACTTTCCCCCCGTTGTAGTGTGTTAAAGAGCTTCAATGTAATAGATGTAAACCATTTTTAAAAAATATTTTTAATTGATTTCAGAGAGGAAAGGAGAGGGAGGGAGAGAGAGAGGAAAAAACATCACTAATGAGGGAGACTCATCAATCAGCTGCCTCCCCGTGATGGGGATGGAGCCAGCAACCCCAGGCATGTGCCCTGACGGGGAATCCTGTGACCTTCTGGTCCACAGATGGATGTTCAACCACTGAGCCACACCGGCTGGACTCTTTCTTTTGTAACAACCCAGAAAACCGGAAGTGCCCAGATATCTTTTGACCCCTAAGAAGCCCTGCTGACCTGAACAAGCTCCTGGCCCTCTGGCCCCTTGCCTGCCCACATGCTTCACCCTGCACTGGTGTCTGCACCAGCAGAAGGAGGAGGGGCAGGGTCAAATCCAAGGAAGGAGGTGGGGACCAATGCAGGGCCCAGGAAGCCTCCAGAGATGGCTCGGCTTGGGTGGGGTGCTCCTGCCCAGGTCTGGCTGGCCCCCACCTAGTGCCAGCACCTCTGAGGAGCATGACCTGGGGCAGGAGCAGCTGGTCAGGTGACTGCCCACGTGACAGATGGCATTCACCCACGAAGCACACTCCCTGGCACTACTTTCTAAACTCCCATTGGCCGAATGCAAAAGAGTGAAAGAGGCATCCTTCCAGAGCTCATCTCGAATCTACTCTAATTTATTTGAAACCCTCAGTGCTCTGGCCATGATCAGACACAGATTACCTTGTGGTAAAACTCACAAGGGTCGCAGGGTATCTCAGAGCTGTGACACCCAGACCAAGGGCTCCAGGTGGGGAGTGGTGGCGGGTGGTTAGTTATCAGGTTCCCGCCCAGCCTCCCTCCCCTGTGTCCTGGCACCCTGGAGTGTCAGAGGAAGATAGAATGTCGCTTTGCCCTCCAGGAGCAAGGCCAGGCCGCATTCTTCAAGGGTCAGCTAGGTGGGGAGGGGAGGCTGGTGGTGGAGGGATGCAGGGGAGAAGGGGGGAGGGAGGGGCCCACAGGAGGCTGACCTTCGGGCTTGGGCTTGCCCAGCACGCGCAGCACCTCGGCGTTGGTGGGGTTCTGGCCCAGGGCCCGCAGCACGTCCCCGCACTGCGCGTAGGCGATCTTCATCTCCCCGGTCGGGGTCCGGTCAAACAGCGAGAAGGCCTCTTTGAACTCTGCGGAGAGAGGACCCAGCTCAGCCCCCAGGGCCGGGGGGGTGGGGAAGGGAGTGGCTGAGGGCTGATCAGCCACACCCACACACACCCCCCACCCCCGGGCTGAAGGGCAGCCCGACGTGGCTTATAAAATGTTTCAGTATCGCCCTGACCGGTGTGGCTCAGTGGATAGAAGGGTCCCAGGTTCGATTCCGGTCAAGAGCATGTACCTTGGTTGCAGACACATCCCCAGTGGGGGGTGTGCAGGAGGCAGCTGATGGATGATTCTCTCTAATCGATGTTTCTAGCTATCTATCCCTCTCCCTTCCTCTCTGTAAAAATAAAACATACATATTTAAAATGTTTCAGTATTTCCCTCCCGGCTCCTCCCTGGAGCCCACACCCACCCTATCTTCTGACAACTGAAGAGGCGGCCTAGAGCCCCCGTGACCTCTGCTATCAGTCGGTTGTCACCTAATGAGTGCCTCCCCTGCTTCCAGCCCTCCCATCCACCCATCCTCCCCAGGTGCAGGCGAGGATCCTGACGGTTGAAAAATGTCAGGGAAATGCAATCAGCGCTGGTTGGGGGTCAGATTCTTGGGTTCTGTGGCTTTGCAGATTCTGGCAGGAGCAGCCTGCCTGCCGGGTCTGTGTTCTTGGCACCACGGGGAGCAACAGCGCCACCCAGCGGGCACTCCCAGGTACTGGGGGTGTCAAAGGGGATGGCACATACGGAGGAGGCCCTCTGCGAAGTGATAACACCTGTCCAAAAGGCAGCTAGTTATTGCCAGTACTTCCTGTTCCAGGCGAAACGAAGGCTCCCGGGCCAGACAAGATGGCACGGTGGAGACAGACCTACCCACTCGGCCACGGAGCAGCGCAGGGGCTCAGGTCAACCTCTAACCTCTGAGTGTTCTTTTTTTTTTAGCTCTAAGTGGGGATACAATGTTCACCTGAGCGGGTTGCTGGGTCTGATGGAGGATTTCCTGGTTCTCAAGTCAGCTTAGATCTATTATAGATCCTGAAGGGACCGGGGCAGATGCCCACGGGCCAGGCTGAACTAAGGCACTCCTGGGTCCTTGCAAAGAACCTTAATTCCTCGCTCATTTGGATTTGAGCAATTCATTACTGGGGATAATTTGGACTGGGAATGGCATGGAAGTTACCTTATCCACAGAGAAATAGTTTACTAAGCAGATTAACAATATAAACCAAAGAAGAATGTGTAAACTTCTTAGGAGAAAAAGCTGTGTTTAATCCTCTCTGAGTACATTAGAAACAATTATTTACTTAGAGGCTGCATATGGATTTCTTACAAATCATTCCACATGTCAAAGCCGGTTCCCCAAAACGTTTGCTTGCACCTCTTTATTAAGCTTTGGGGAGATTTAAAAGATAGAAAACCGCATGCCTGTCACATTATTGAATAATTGAGTTCAAATTCCATTTCATTGTTTACTAGCTGTGTGGCTTTGGGAAAGTAAATATTTAACCTTTATAAAACCTCTTCTATAAATGGCACCTGTCTCACAGGGTTTCTTAATTACATCCAAATTAAATACAATAATTTATGTAAAAACCCTTAACACAATGACACATATTAAATCCTCAGCCAATGTTATTAGTATTATTTTACTGAGTTTAATCCCAGTTTCGCCATTTAACTATGTGACCAAGTCACTTCACCTCAACAAACCTAGGTTTCCTCCTCTATACTAAGGAAATAGCACCAATCTCACATTTTTTTTGGAGGGTTTAATTTTTTTTTAACCTTTGAAGTAATTAGCTTGCCTTCCAGCACAAATTCAATGCTCTGAACTAACTCTGAACTCAGACTTTTTGATCTTCTCCTGGCTCTCTCAGAAGAGTCAGGTCGGATCTAATAAAAGAAGTAGTCTCTTCATAAAAGAAGACCATACTGATACCTAATAGGAGGATGTAACATGAAGAGGAAAGGAATAAGAACAGCCTATGATTTGAGAACTTACTGTGGGCTAGGCTCTAAGCTGATAAATTTTCATGGATTACCTCATTCATCTTTACTAAAACCTTATGCTATAGGTATTATTGCCCTCGTTTTGGACCAATGCAGATGTGACTTCTGACCAGCTGTCAAGGAAACCAAGGAAATGGCGAGGAGGAAGGAGAAGGAAGAGACTTGCAGCAACTGCTAATGCTCCACCCCCAGTTTCGGAGAGTGTCAAACGAGATAGCAATATGTGGAGGCATTCTGCAACGTGATCATTGTAGAGGGCCCCTGAGAAGGCACATGGACATTCTTTAAATTGTCAGCTGAGCCCGAGGCACTGGCAGAGTACCTTTGTCCAGGTGTCAGCAGGGGCGGGTCTAAATCCAGTAATGCTAGGGCCTCGTTAAGAATGCAAATAAGCTCCTTTGACCCTATAAATAAACCTGCCGCGTGGCTTGGGGGTCGCCTTTGCTGCCTCTCTATCAGAGAGGATGGTGCCCAGCTTGATGAATCTATTTCTGCCTCCATGTCTCTTTCTTCTTTCTCTAATTTCTTAATCCCCAGTTCCCCCACTCAGGAACCTGTCGTTTTCCGTGATGGACACGGAAAACAGAGAAACAGCCCACCACAGATACCTGCTCAAAAGGAATCACATGCTCATAAAAACCACACTCTGGAGTTTAGGATTGATACCAGAGAAAAACAAAACCAGGGTGAGCTTGAAAAGTGATGCTAATAGAAAGAAACCTTTTCTCAACAGTCTGTAGCAGTCGGCTGCTTGCTAGAGCAACGAGCAACGGTGGTAACCCCTTTCTGGAAGGACATGAAAATCTGGGGAGGGACGAGAGAAGGAAGTCAAAACTCTGGAAGATGGGCTAAGGGGCAACCATCACATTGGAGGGTGGATGGAGATCTTGAAGCTTGTCTGGAAGCTACACTAAGTACCACTTTACATAAGATTGAGAAAAATAAATTGTCTTCATCAAAGATGGAGAAGCATTGCTAACGGAGATCACAGGGGGACTAGGGCAATCCCAAATCACTGTTGGCCCTGCCACCATTAGTGGGTGAGCATCTTGGCAGATTTCAAGAGGAAGGAAGAGGAAGTGGTAACCCAAAGGAACAGGAATGAGGGCTTTTAAATATGTTAAGAAAGTAGATCTGGGGTGTGGATGAGGAAAAGGGCATTTTTGCTAGGCATCTATTATGTTCCAGGTGGTCTGGCAGAGCAGTTGAGAACTACTAGTAGATCTGGAATCAGATTGCCAGAGTTTGGATCTTCTCTAAGCCACCCAACCTCCCTAAGCCTCAGCTTTGTCACCTGTAAAATGGGGTGGTAATAGTCCCCATCTCTCAGGCTTGTTGTGAGAATTAAATGAGTTAATGCAGGCTTACGTAATAACATGTAGTAGGCAAAAGTGAGCAAATAGAAAATCAACAGCAAACATGCTTGCTATTATGATAATGATGATTACTATTATGGTGATGACAACAAGTCCTCCTCCTCCTCCTCTTTCTCTAGAAAGTGCAACAGAGAGGGTATGTATGGGTGGGGGAGGGGGAAGGGAGTTATCAGTACTCACCTTCGATCTGGTCAGCAGTGAAGTCTATCTGCGGGGAGAGAAACAGAGGAGTGAGACTGGCAAAGTTTCCAAAGGGAAGCAAAAGTGGCTTCCCCCGCAGTCTGGTCACCTCCAACAGGCCACTAATGAGGAGGGAGGAGACTGCGGGCTAAATGTAACACACCGGTCTCCCGATGAATGGGACGCTACTGACAGGCTATAAAATAATGCAGCCTTCAAGTCTCTCTCAGAACACTTGGTAAGTGATGATTCCCACTTACCGGGATAGCTCTAGATTCAGGGGTCTTCAAACTACGGCCCGCGGGCCACATGCGGTCCGCAGAGGAGTCTGATCCAGCCCGCCAGGTTTTTTGGGCAGTGAGCGCAGCCGAGGTGTTACAGTAGGAATTAGTAGTTCATATAGTCCGGCCCTCCAGCTCTCTGAGGGACCGTGATCTGGCCCCCACTTTAAAAAGTTTGAGGACGCCTGCATACACCCACTCCCTACTCTAATTTCTTTGTGTCAAATGTGAATTCCTTGTCCTGTCAGCCATAAACTGACCTCACTCTCATCCCTTCAGACCCTGCCTGCTCCACAATCCTCCACAAGCCACACTTTCTCTCCCTTTGGGCACCTCAACACCTCACCTTTGGTCTCACTTTCCTTTTTTCTTTTTCTTTCCTTTCTTTTTTTGTTTTTTTGTTTGTTTGTTTTGTTCATCTTCACCAGAGGAGATTTTTTCCATTGATTTTTAGAGAAAGTGGAGGGAAGGGCTGAGGGGGAGAGAGAGACAGAGACAGAGAGAGAAATATCGAACCTGCAACCCAGGTACATGCCCCTGACCAGGAATCAAACCTGAGACCCTTCAGTGTGCGGACTGATGCTCTACCACTGAGCCACACTAGCCAGGGCTTGGCCTCCCTTTTCTACCTTATTGACTTCAAGTCACCTCCTTCAGTGAAGCCTCCCCTCACCCATTCCATTCCAGCCCCTTCTTAGCACACATTCCTCTTAGGCACTCTGGGACAGCAAGAGCGGTTTGAGTGGACCCTGGACACTTCGTGACTGTTTTTCAGTCATGCCTGTATGCGTATCCTGGCTCCTTGTTGCTCGTGGGAATTCCTGGCATTGAGTGGGCACTCAAAAAATATTTATTGAGCAAAGAATAAACTTTGGATTCTCCCTCCCCCCCACTCCTGCCCCCGATGCATAACAGTTCAAATCTGAATAACCAGGAGGAAGGGAGGAGGCTTTGAAAATAAATGACGATGACCAAGCATGAGTCATCATTTCCACTTAGGATCTTGTATGTTTTTTTATTGTCCTTATACACCACCTCCACCGTACCCAAAATCCCCTCTCTGCTGCTCGTGGTAACCGGTCTTGGAGCATCTACTTCATGTACCACCTTTCCTAAATCCTAATTCTGAGCTTGCTGTGCCCACCCAGGCTGACCTCCATTAACGAGGGCCCCTGCAGGTGGCTGGAATGAGCTAGGAGAGCAGGAGAGCGGGATGGGAACTAGCTGTGCCCAGGAATGGACTCTGCCAAAGGCGGCGGGGGTGGGGTGGGGGGTGGGGCATCACTGCGGAGAAGGGTCAGGAATTAAACCCCCCAAATGGGCTAAAGGATGCTTTGCATGAACTCTCTGAGGAGAAGGTACAGTTCTCTTTACTTGGCAATTCTTTAAGTCCCAGGAGCATACATGTAAGAAATATTTGTAGAAAGACATGATATCAGAATACGGTTAGAACCACGCACACTGGGGTTGTTACATTCACTCTTTCTTTGAGCAAAGAATCTTTTAAGCAAAGGAACTGAGAAGTACAAATAATAAGAAAAAAAATAGCCTTCAGGAAAGACACCTCCTTTTTTTTTTCTACTTTACAGTAACTTTAAGAAACTCCAGAAGTAGAAGATCTAGACATGGAAAAGAGGATTGAAAGCCAGGGAAAAGAAATCAGGGGAGGTGGATGGATGGAGGGACGTGATCAGCCTAGGGGAAGACACTCATCTGATACTACTAGGCAGCTGCTGTCCAGACACTAGGACCAGAAGTGGTGCATTGTGAGAACAAATCAGAAATAAAGGCATCCTGCTGGGGAGATAGTCAGCTTTTTTTTTGTTTTTGTTTTTGTTTTTTGTTGTTGTTTTTTAATATATTTTTATTTATTTCAGAGAGAAAGGAAGAGGGAAAGAGAGAGATAGAAATATCAATGATGATAGAGAATCACTGATCGGCTGTCTCCTGCACGCCCCCTACTGGGGATCGGCCACCACCCAGGCCTGTGCCCTTGACTGGAATCGAACCTGGGACCCTTCAGTCCACAAGCCAGATAGTCAGCTTTTCTTGCCAGGCCCTGCCCATAGAATGATGTATGTCCTAGAGTGCCTACAGGGGATTTTAAGATCCTACACTGTGCCTCGGTTTCCCCAGAGTGGTGCCATAACCAAGCTCAGGAATGGGGCAACTGCCTTCATCTCTTGGCCAAGCCAGTTCTGCTTAACTCCTGCCCCTTGGCAGCACTGGCACAACTGCTGGGTCTCTGGGGCTGTGGGAGCCGGAGGAACCTTATGAGGGCCAGGGAGGGTCATCCGATGACAGCTGAGGTTTTCATCTCCGGCCTTCTTGTCCCAGAACCCACTCCTGGGCTCTTCTTTTGCTTTGGTTCCTCCCCACCCAGCCCTGACTTGAGGCTGATATTCCCAGGGGCCCACCACGCCCAGCCTGTTATTAATAGCTCCTCATACCAGGGGCCAGTTGCCCTCTTACATCCGGGTGCCAAGGCTTAAAACTGCTTCGCTCTCCAGAGGCCCCTGACCCGCTCCTTCCTGGGCCCTTCCCCTCCCAGGCCCACTCGTTCGGCAGCTGCGCCAGAGCCGGGCGGCCTGAAAGGACTGCGTCAGCAGCAGGGCCTGCACCAGCTCGGGAAAGAGCGCCTGCCAATCAGGGGAACAGGGCGGGGCAGAGCGGGGATAGGGCTGGGGAGGTGAGGGCGGAGGACACGGGGTCAGCAGCCTCACCAGGTCAGAGAGGGGGCCTTGGCTGGGGAGGGCCAGGGCTCTGCAGCTGCCAGCCGGGGGCCCAAGCTGAGGCCACAGAAGGAGCTGCCCCCCTGGCGGAGGAGAGGCGAGGGCACCGGGTTTCTCTCACCTTATCCGGAGCCTCCCCGATCCCCACCCATGGCAAGAGTCTGAGAGGGAAGCCTTCGCCAGGCACAGGGAGCACTGCTGACACCACTGACGCCACGTCCCGCTGGCCGTTATGGTTGTGTGTCTTTTTTCCGCGTAGAAATCATACTACCTCTGGGGAAAGGGCCAGTCCCTTTCACTTCACTGGGGCGGCCCCAAGGTGCCTTAAAAAGGTGGAAAGGTTGCATTTCCCTGCCATTCCCAACTCTGCTGGGAAACCTGTTCTTCTCCAGGGGCAAGACCTACAACCCAAAACGCCTCACCAGCCCCAGCGCCTGGCCCCACCCCCCCACCACCACCCCCAGGCCTGTGACCTGGGGCATGGACCCCAAAGCCTCACCCCAGTCCAGCCTTCTTGAAGTGGATCTCTAAGCTTCAGGCCAATAGGACCCTGGATATCATCCCCACCCCTACCCCCGGGGCTGAGGCTCACTCACCTTTACACTCTTGGGGTCAAAGGCAGGTTCCTTGGGGGGCTCGGGGGCCGGGGCAGGGGCTGGGGCCGCCTTGGCCGCCTCCTTCTTAGGCTCAGGCTTCTTGGGAGGCATGCTGAGGTCTTCAGTGGAGGCAGCACCTAGGGAGGAATCAAGAGATGTGGCACCTGGGAACCGAGACGGGAGACTGGGCCGCCTCCCTCCCCTTTTATCCTGGGCAGGAGCCCCCACAGAGGGCCTGGGCGAGAGCAAGAGCAGCTGCTACTGACTATAAAAGGAAGAAACACCAGCAGGGGACAGCTGACAACTGTGTATTGTCACCAGGTTTGGTGCTCCCAGCCCCCTCCACACTCTCTCTCCCCCTCACACCCCTCACAGGCTCTACCTCTGGGACACACTGACTGACCGCTTCCTGCCAATTGGTGGACACCCAGAGGGGCCAGGAACACAGGCTCTCTCAAAAATGCCGGTGTCCAGCCAGAGAGATGAGCTGACTTGAGCAGTTGATAACCCTCACACAAAGCCCAGGGGAGGGTCAGGCTTTTTTTAGCCCCTCCTGAGCGGAGGCAGCCCACTGCACATTCCTCTGGAGCCAAGATCCTTTAAGCTGAGAGCCACTCTGGGGCCTCCACGCTGTCCTGAGGCTCAACTCTCAGGCCTGAAGCCCTGAAGCAGCAGCTGGCCCGGCCAATGCATGCTGTGCCACCCCCTCCCAATCCATAGGGCGAATCCTCCATCTTCCAGAGCAGGCACCCTGGGAACTCCACAGGCCTCAGGTCCCCACAAACTTTATCCATTCAATAAGTATTGAGCAGCTGAAACTGGTTTGGCTCAGTGGATAGAGCGTTGGCCTGCTGACTGAAAGGTCCCAGGTTCGATTCCGGTCAACCTTGGTTGCGGGCACATCCCCAGTAGGGGGTGAACAAGAGGCAGTTCATTGATGTTTCTAACTCTCTATCCCTCTCTCTTCCTCTCTATTCAAAAATCAATAAAATATATATTTTTTAAAAACTTAAAAAAACACACACACACAAGTATTGAGCATTTGGCATATGCCCAGGGGACCAGAATGAGAGAGAGGTAGAGAGGCGTGGCTGGAAGTTGATGGGATTTCCAGAAAATTCAGGTCTCATTTTTACTATCTATATCTCCAACTCATTCTGTGCCATCTGGATGTGTGTGTGTGTGTGTGTGTGGTACTTACTGTGTACCAGACACTATTAAGTGCTGTTTATCAACTCTCATTAAGTCTTTATCCTATTAGGTAAATATTATTATTACTGTCATGTTTCACAAGGGGAGATTGAGACTAAAAGCAGCAACAGTTAACAAGGTCACTCGGCTAATGAGCCATGAGATGCGTGAGAACCCAGGAGTATCTGATTCTAAAGCCTATGCTTGAATGCCGACACTACAATCCCATGTATAGGGGACACACGTGTTGGTGTGTTCCTCAGAAAACTCAGAATACATACACACCAAAGTGTTAACGGGAGACACCCCTGGAGAGCTGCAGGGGGAGGACAGGACGGTGACAGCAATTGTCAGTTTTTTATACTTTTTCACTTCCTGTATTCATGGAAATTTTTATAACGAGCGTGTGCTGTTTTTGTAAGAAGTGTTGGAAGCCAGTAACTGTGCAGAAACACACACACACACACACACACACACACACACACACACACAAAAGCTTAGCCACTGCACAGAACTGTTTTGAGCTGAATCCCGAGACTATGGTTCAGAGGATAAAGGGAAACCAGGCCGAGGAAGGCAGGAAAGTCAGTTGGCCTTTGCAGGCCAAGTTTCCTCGCCTGTAAAACCAGATTGCTAGGCCACGTAGCACCTGGTCCCTGTTAGCACCTAAGCTTGCAATCTGCCGGTTCCCAGGCTCCCTAAGCACAGGCTCCAAGTCCCAGATCTTTCGGGGCCCAATGGCACTTCGAGAGAGTCCCCTCCCACTTGGTTTATAGATGAGGAATCTAAGTCCAGGAGCTACCTTAGGACACACAGGCAGACCTGAGCATCTAATTCTGCCTTGTGTGCTGCGCTCTGACACCACCCTGCCCCTCCTGGAGCCTATCCCTGCTCTCACTGCTGGTGGGTGATGAACCTTCAAAGGAAATGGGGGGGTGGGGGGGGGTGTGGATCAGGACTTGCCTGAGGGGCTAACTAAAACAAGGCCAGGGTGCACACCATAGGCTAGCCCTGGTCCTGGGCTGGTGTGGAGGCTCCTTGGCTCTTTTCTCCTCCCCTTTTCTCTCTTTCAGCCTACCCTTTTCTCTTACTTCTGATTCCCTGTCACCTGCTCCCGGGTACCTCTGCCGGCATCCTTCCCGTTTCCCCTGTCTGACCCCTCGTGACTACCTTATTCCCCAGGAGGGGTGGGAATTCAGGTTGTTGATGAGGAAGGAAGAAAGAGGAAGCCGGGCCCCTCCCCTCTCTCTCCTCTCTCCCGGACCAGGGTTTGCAGAGATCCACAAGCTGGAGTTTCTGCAGAAAGCTGCAGGCCAGACGCTGGACAGCCCAGGCCCCAGCCCTGACCTTGCCAGCCACTGCCCCTCTCTGGGCCTCCACTTGCTTGCCTCTCTCTCTCTCTCTCTCTCTCTCTCTTTTATTTCTTTATTGGTTAAGGTATCACATATTTGTCCTCAACCCCCCATTCTAATCCCCCCTTATGCCCCCACCCCCCCTTTTGTTCTTGACCACTGGTTAGGCTCATATGTGTGCACATAAGTCCTTTGGTTGATCTCTCCCTTTTATCCTCCCCCCCTCCCTTTGAGGTCCATCAGTCTCTTCACTGAGAGGTGAGGAGGAGCTGTCAAGTGGTGCTCAGCAGACACCTCAGTCCCTGACTGGCTGCTGCCACAGCTTTAAGGGACGCAGAGAGGCCGGGCTTTGGCACTCCCCCACCCGCTGCCACTTCAAGCAGCACCACTCCTGTGCGCTTTATATGCCCGGATAATTTTCTAAGAAATGGTTCCGTGGTTTAAAAGTTTTAAAATCACTGTCGAATGAGATGCTCTCATCTGTTCCCTTCCAGTTAACAAACAGGTTCTTCTAATCATTCTAGAAAGAAGTGTGATCTTCAAAAGACACAGAGCTGGGAGGCGGTCCTTTCCTTTCTCTTTCTTTCTTTCTTTCTTTCTTTCTTTCTTTCTTTCTTTCTTTCTTTCTTTCTTTCTTTCTTTCTTTTTTCCTTTCTGTTCTAAGGAGAAGCAAAAATATCCAGTCTGCTTGGGAACGGAGAGATGAGGTTAGAAAGCCGGGGCTCCAGGACCCCCAGGAACACGAAAAGGGTGTGGGCTGTAAAGGCAGAGAAGCGTGGGTCTGAGTCCTGGCTTTGCCGTCATTTCCTTGGGCCTGGTCCTCTCAGGACCTTTCCTGGTAGACATTTCCTTCCCCATTGATTGTGAGATCTGTGGAGAAATGTCAATGAGGCCCCACGAGCCACCTCTGGCACACAGGCAGCATTCATTGCTGGTCATTTCTTTTTGCTTTCCCAGGCAGATGGAGCTCGAGATGTCCTCAGGTCTCTCCGATTTCCCAGGGGGGAAAATCCAGGAGGAGTCCACATGAGAGAGACAAGGAAAGCGGCAAATGAGAGTATAAACTATGGATTTAGGAATGAGGAAGACGTGGGAAGGAACGGGGTCCGGGGGAGGGCAGCGGCTGGGTAGCCATGGTGTGAAATAGCTGTGGCTCAGAAAGCATGTGGCAGCTCCCCGGGGCCAGGCAGATAAGGAGCCTAAAACCTTAGGCCACCAGCACCCCCATGGGGGAGGAGAGGCTGGTCAAATCCGCTTCTAATTCTCTTTAAGCAAGCTCAGCTGAAAAGGTGTCTGGCACGTCAGGAGGGACCAGAAAGAGCCATGCATCAAGATTCAAGACACCCGACACGACACGAGCCTCGTTGTGGCTAAAACTCAAGATGCCCACAGCTCCTAAGAGCTCAGCCACTGGAGTCAGAGGTTTCACTTTCTCATCATCATCATTCTGCTTCGTAGTCGCTGACTTCCACCTTCAAATCTTATCCATCTAGGCTTGTAGGGGTGTCGAACTCAATCAGAGAAGGGGCCAAAATCTAAAATCCAGCCTAAATCGCGGGCCGAATGGTTTACTGAACAGTCATAAACTGTCATTGTGATGGAAACGCAGCGGAGTGCAGTGATGACAGCGCGGTGCGGGCCACATTGCAAGGCCTGGCGGGACGGATTTGGCCCTCGGGCCTTGTGTTTGACACATGTGATCTAGAGAATGCTTCCCGGGGCCTCTGGCAGGGTCTTACTCTCCGGTACACTTTGACCAGCCCAGAGCAAAGGAAGAGAGAAGGAAAGTGGCAGAGGTGTGAAGAGGCCTGTCTAGTGACATGTCCTGGCAGCCTAGCAGCTGCCTAGGGAGGCACCTAGTGGTTGCCGAGCCAGAGTCACCACTCCAGCCCACTCAAATGCTTCCTCTGGAAGGACTTCAACCTCAGTGCATGGAATACCCAGGCAGAATTTCACACCACCCAGTTTGCATCACATGTCAACTTCGGAGACAAACCCCCTACTGGAGAGAAATGACATCAGAGCTCATTAGGGCTGGGCTTATGCATACTCACTCACCCTCCTCTCTTCACCTCTAACCTCGCAGAGCCTGTGTCCTGCCCTGAGAGACATACTACATTAGAGTCTCCAGCTTGGGCTCCAGTGCTGCTGACAGCAGGGCTGGCCGTTAATGCCTCGTCCTTGTCACCCTCCTTCCTCTCTTCTAGCCAATATCTCATAAGCTAGACACCACGGGGCAGTCCTGGCCAAAACTACACTAATCTGTCCACAGAGGACGCTGGGTAAATTAGCCTCTGCTGCAAGGGAGAGGTTAAGAGGGCCCACCCAGGAGCCAGACTGCCAGGGTAAGAGTCCTGAACAGGTTAGTTCACTAGAGAAGCTAATTAACTTCTTCACGTCTCAGTTTTCCCATCTATCAAATGGGACTGCTAATATAGACTCGTAGGGCTGTTGTGAGGATTAAATGGGTTCACATGGATAACAAGCTTACAGCAGTGTCCAGCACAGAGCAAGTGCTCAAAATCCTTTAGCTTCAGTCCTGATTGAACTAATGCGACCGCTGCTTCCTCTCTTAAGATCAACCATGGAAGAATTATAATGAGAAGATACTAATGTTTCGAACTGTTGTGTGTGGTAGA